TGTTTTGTTTGGTTTTTTTTAATAGGGTTTCCCTGTGTAACTTCGGAACCTGTCCTGGAAATAGCTCTTGTAGACCAGGCTGGTCTCGAACTCACAGAGATCTGCCAGCCTCTGCCTCCCAAGTGCTTGGATTAAAGGTGTGAGCCACCACCTTCACCTGGTTCTTGACTTCATCTTATAAATAGTTCATTACATCAGAATCTGCAATTATATACTTATTTTAGTGCACACACACACACACACACACACACACACACACATACGTTCATTCCTGGGGGACCAGAGGACAACCTCAGTAGTCATTCCCTGGCCTGGAATTTGCCAATTAGACTACATTCTGGTTGGCCAATGAGCCCCTGTCACCCACCAGTCTGCATCTCTCCAGTGCTGGGATTGAAAGTACACAGGCCCACACACTCTGCACTTTTATTTGGGCTCTGGGAATGGAAATGAAGCCCTCATGTTTGGAAAGCAATGCTGTATTGACTGAGCTGTCTCCTGTGCCCCAAGCTTGCATATACCCCAGATTTCCTTGCAGTGTATTTATGCCTTTTCTGAACTTTGCTACATCTTCCTCACAGCTGGTCCAGATGTCTGAATTGCTCTGTATGTGGTTGTGCAGAGGTGGTGATTCTAGTCCCTAAAGAAGCATTTTTTTTGCAAAGTAACCACTTCTCCATCACAATGCCAAGACTTACCCTGGGCAGGTCCCTGGAGGGATTCTGCACTTTCATTGACCCTAATGCTGTAACAACTGTCTAGACACTTCTAGGCATGGGCCCAAGGCAAAGGAGAACCTCATGCAGCAAGCCAATGGGATAGTCCCAAGGCAATTCTGAATCTGATTCCTGGGTCTGAATTGGACCTGACACATCTCAGTGTGATTGACAACAAAGGTCGAACACTCTTAGAATTTTCTAAGAAAAGGGCCCAGCTGGGTCCGATCTCTACCAAGCAGCTGTAGAGCAAAGACCTTGGTCACAGGGCTGCGGGTGCTGGTGTTTACATGCTGTGATTGTTGCCTGGTTCTTTTCAACACTCTCCAGCTTGGCAATTTGTCTCAGCTTCAAGCAGGTGTTTGTTATGACCGGGAACACAGGACTGGGCTGGTCTTTTGAGTGTGCTGGCTGAGCAAATGAATGTTGCCTACAAACTTTCCCCAGGCTATGTGACGACTACCCAGCCTGCTTCCAGCTACTCTAATCTAGCTCAGGGACATGCGGGCACATAAAAGCCTTTGTATCTCCTACCTCACACTTTTTAATTGATATATTCTGCCCACTGCAGACTCCCTCAGTGTTTGATGCAACGGTTTGATTATGCACAGGCGTGGATCTATTGGGGCTGGATAAATGAGCATGAAATCAAGGGAAGGAAAGCCTTGGAAATGTGATAAAGAAGAGTGTGCACTCATGGGCTCACCTTTGATTTGGAAGGTTGGACTGATGGAAAAATGATGAGCTTCACATTGAAGACAAAGGAGAATAATGAGGTCTTAATAATGTCACAGACATGGTAATCTTGCATGTGTGTATGTATAAATATATATACATACACACACTTGATATCAATGTGCAGTTCACAGATTATCAAGCTTGGCTTCAGATATCTGTATTTCAAAATCACTAGTTCTTCCCAATCCCTCAAAATGCTGATTTGGAGTTAATTTCTAGTGACAAGTAGGAGAGCTATGACTTCTTTTTGGATTTGCTCATGATGTGGGGTCTATAGATGCTTCTGAGCAGTGCAAATAGCATTTCAGATGAGCTGCTGCGCTTCTGGGCACCCTATGAACCATACATTGACTTTCACCACACTACAGCTATCTTACCAAAAGAATTCAGTTCCTCATTCTATGCATTTCTCTGGCTCTGTGTCCATTATGTGGAAGGAGGGTCAATGTCCTCTCAGTTGGGCATCTTTAACATCTAAGTCATATTAGGAAACATGACTGATAAAGTGATAAGCAGGACAGAGATTACCAACCTCGTGTGTGTCTCGGGATAGGAGTCAGATGTCATCTATGCACAAGGCTTGATCAAGCTCTACTTTCTGGACCATGCAGACATTGCTAGCATCTCAATCCATGCACTATTTTCAGGATTTCAGGGTCCATGTCTCCTTCTGCTTTTTCGCACTGGAAACAAATTGAACAACCCAAAGAGCTAAACAACAGCCATGGACTAGATCTTAAAAAAACACAGTAAGAAAAGTCATTTTATGTTAAGAATTTTGCTTTAGAATAGAATTATTTTCTTTTATATGATTATTTGTATTTATGTGTACTGGTATTTTTGTCAACATGTATATAAGCATACCATGCTTGTGCCTGGTTCCTGAGGAGGTCCAAAGAGAGTGTCTGATGAACTGCAAATGGACTTACATAGGCTGTGAGCAATTGTATGGGTACTGGGCCTAGAACCTTGATCCTCTGAGGAGAGCAACAGGTGCTCTTATCCACTTAGTCAGTTCTCCAGTCCCTTGAATTACTAAATAAGCTACATCATTTGCCTGTCTGTGCCTGGTTAGACTCCCTCTCCAGAGAGGAGTTTAATGAGGTGGAAGATTTCCATAGATCAGATAAGCCATAGACCACTTGGCTGTAGGGAAAATGAAGTCACAGATTTGGACCACAAGATTCTATGTGTTTTCTGTTCCAGAGCTATCTCATTGAGATACTGTAAAATCTGGTCTGTCCTGATATCAACAAGTTAAGAAATTTTACTTAGTCACAGGCCTCAAACTTGTCAAAACCTTTAAAATGTCTTTGAACCCCATTCAAAAGATAAGAAAATGCATTAACTCTAGGGGCATTTTTGTCATGGCTGATATCATGGGTCCTAGTGTGATAGCCACTCTGTGCAAATGTGGCCTTTCTTTTTTAAAACAGGATTTCAGTCAGATGACCACACAGCATGTGTCTGGTGTTTAGAGTCCCAGCCAGCTTCATCAGTATCCTAGGCATCTGGCCTCTTGAAGAGACCACAATATAGCTGTTTAGGATAGTAGGTTCAAACTCTATCCTACATTCAAGGGGGAATTGGTGGAAAACGACAGGTGTTGGCATTTATTGTTTCTGTTTCTCCCCCTGATCTTGATGGGATTAGGCTTTTAGTGACCCTATGTTGGAAGTTGGGCTGTGAGAGATGTCAGCTTCTGGCCTGCATGTTTTACAGGAGTATTGAATATTGATTCCAGTTCCTAGTGATTGCATGGCAAATAATACACCAACTGAGTCATCTCTTGAGCCCTGGTGAGATCTTGGAAGTTTCAAGGCTGACTTTGCTGTTCCTAGAGGAATGTATTAGCTCTTTGAGATCAAAGACAGAATGGGGACTTATTCGATGATTTTTGGATAATTATCAAATCTTTAATCAGATAGACGAGGCCCAAGGATGATACCATCCAGTGTGCCTTTCAACTTCCTCTTGGGGTTCCAGCCATTTCCTTGAATGTCATTCAATATCTTATTCTAGGATCTCAGTGACAGACACTCTTTCTCAGATCTGGTTCCCATTTCCCCTTCTTGGGATCAGCTTCCTACTTCCCTTTTGTCACCCATCTTCATCTTTCAGGTCATAACCCAGGGAAGACTTTTTGGCCAAGTCTCCTAACAAAAGAAAACATCATGTCACTCATAGTATATGGTTCCTCAGCATCTCTTTCTCTCTTCCCATTTGTGACACATGTGATTATCTTGCACTGGAATTGTGGGTGCCTAGTTCTCCAACCATACTGTACCCTTTGGGGGAGCACCTGCTACTGTACTGAGCTTCTTGTGTCCCCAGCAGTAACACCAGTATGCAATGAGAACGGTTCAAGGAAATACAGGATGGTTATCAGATGTGATAGAGTTAAGGTTAGGGCTGAGAGATAGACTTGGTCATGGAACCTGTAGATGGCATAGGGGGACAAAGATAGAATGAAGGAGTGAGGCAGACTGAGTTCAGACAACCTTGTTGAGACTACCACATGACAGGAAACAATAAGGGAACTTCAGTAAGGAACAGAGAGCATGAGAGATGTAGCAGAGACAACATTAGCTCAGGGTGGTGATTCACTGTGTGTGATTCATAAAAGGAGTAGAATAGAGGGGACTCCACACTTGAGCTATTGGTTGAGTGAAGAATGGGGCCACTGCTAATTGAGGCAGTGGTACGGAAGAAAGACTGTTAGAAGAATTAGGGGCCATCCATGTGAATGACACTGTGACACACAGAGGGGATAGCATGGTGTGGGTGCCGCTCAGCAAACACATAAATGGTGGCTGTGGAAATCCCTACATAGACAGTAAAAGATGATGATATGTGAGCACCGGACCTCACATGGAGAGAAGGGTCAGCAGTAAGACTGCCAGAGCTAAAGAGGACGGAGATGCCCTGGCAAATGAAGATGTTTCTTAAGCTTAGAAAGGATTTGATGGGGGAGGAAGGAGACCTTTCTTGGGGGCAAAGGGTCCCTTCTGTTTGCAGCTGCATCAAAGGGACACCCAACAGGTGTTAGACAATGAACATGGGCTGGAAGCGGAGGAGTGACCTGTGTGAAGAAGACTGCACGTTTGCCCCCCAGGTGTCTGCACACGGTGACGAGAAGGGTGAAGGTCAAGTCTAGGGTTCAGAGTGAAGGGAACCTAGGGGACTTTGAGGTGCTCAGGTACTAAGAATAGCATTAATGGTACCAGTCTCTTCTGAGCCTCAGAAGAGAGGAGGCCATGCGTATGAAGAGAAATGTGATCAGAGTCAGAGGCTGACTCGGGAGATGGGAGGAACAAAAGTGTGTGACTAGCAGAGTCCATGTCTCCCAAGGGAAGAGCCATGTGCTGCAGCCTCTATTTGCTCACCAGACTCATTACTCTGAGCACTGTAGCTCCAGTGGCCTCTCATAAGAAACCATTGCAGTAGACATTGGATGTCAATAGAATAATGTGAAATTTAAAACAGTGAAACCTTAGATGAGTTTGAAATCTTAGACATCCCAGTATTTCATTTTCTTGTCAACAGTCACTGGGTGATCCCTGGAAAGTGAAAGTTTATAAAGTCTGGTGTGATGATTCATCTTCATTGTCAACTCTTGAGGAGGGGGAGTTTGACTCATCATGGAAACACGTACTTCAAGGTATATCTTTGAGCTTATTTCCAGAAGTATTTAACTGAAGAGGGAAGATCCACCCAGAATGCAGGCAGCTTTGTTCCATGGGATCTGACGTAGACTGAATAAAAAGAAGAAAGTGATGTGAACCCCAGCACCCATTCCTGTTTCAGGACTACTGATGCCATCTGACCCCCTACCCAAGCTCCTGTCAGTATACCTTCACAGTCATGATGGACTGCACCTACAGACTGTGAGACAGAATAAAGCTTTCCCTCCTAAAATTGCTTTTGCTGGGTATTTTGTCAGAGCAATGAGGGAAAAAATGGATACAGAAAAGATATGGTGTCTTTTGGTCACAGACCTTATGGAACAAGGGTACTGGACACCTGCACAGTTCTCTGAGTGATTCAAGTCCTATGTGTTTGCTAAGTAAGCCAGGGCAGTCAAGAGTCCCAGATGGAGGAGCTGCCCCAGCATTGGCAGAAAATGGAATCTGTAGGCCTCTATGACCCCCACAACAAGGCCCAGCTCTCGGGCAGAGCTTTGAAGGTCCAGGACCTGAATTTGGAGTGGTATCCCCCCTCATATGAATGAGTGGAAACTCTTGTCAGGCCTAGCACTAAGCCAAGACTCCCAGAGAGACAAGGAAGTAAGAGAGGGGGTGTTGTGCAGAAGGACTGTGTTGTCTCTCTAATTGCTTTTTTTGAACAAAAGGTGACAGGAACTAAACATGGACATGCCCAGGGCTTCTATTTCAGTCAGTGCTGTGTCCTGGCTGAGGTGGGCAGGCAGCTGGTGATGTGCACGGGTAAGAAGACTCTGCTTTTCTGTCTTTTCCCTTCTGGTGTCCCCTGTCTTAAAGGTCAAATACGGCAGGGCTCAAATGCTGGCAGCAACCAACAAGCAAACAGCAACAAATAACGTCTTTGACACAAGGGAGGAAACAGTTGAACCCATGTCAAACGGGTCCCCATCTGAGTGGCACCAGTCAGCAGCAGTTAACAGCTGTTATATAAACACGATGGAATGCACTCGCTGCTCCGAGCAGTGGAAAAGGTTGGTCATTGGCCACTGGGGATGCCCGGTACCCATGCTGCTCTCCAGCTGTGGTGCAAGTGTGTTTGAATAAAACCTTAGCCCTCATAACAGGGAGCTTGATAGAGTGTTAACAATCCTCAGCTCCAGGCTGAGCTGTTAACCAACAAAGTCGTCATTAACTGCTGGTAATAAGTGCATTTGGGGGATTATTGCTTAATTACGAATGAGAGCGTCAAAGCCGAGCCGCCTCCGACAGTGAAGTAGTTTGCTTGGAAGCTGTTTAACCACAGCCTTCTTTGTCATAGTCTCTCTCTGCCACTGAAAGCTATAGAAGGTTCTGGAGGGATCCCTGCATGGTCAGGCGCTTCACACATCTCCAGGTTGCTTTAGGCTTCCCCTGGAACTGTGCTCTCTGTGGGCATTAAGCAAGCAAGATAGAGCTGCAGGTAGCAAATGACCTCTCAGAACTCCTGGTTTATTATAGACAGAGATAAGTCACTCTGATGCGGAGAATCTGCATCCCAACCACAACCAGAAAAAGTCCCTTTATGAACAAGTCACTCACACACACACACACACACACACACACGTACATGCATAGCTGCTGCATGCATGCATACACTCACACACTTGTACACATACACGTGCGCACACACACACATTTATACACTTACCTAAATCATGGTAAGGGTTTGAGTGGTATTTCAGGACCCTAAATATTGAGATTTACTTTGATCATGTCCCCTTGTGGAGAGAGTGAACACTGAAACTCTCTGAGACTGTAGACATGCTGGGACCAGCACCATAATTTCCCTCTAGTTCTTGCCTTAGGCTTTGTTTCCCTGTTTCCTTGGCAGGGAGGGCACCTGTTCGACCCCACTATGCTGATGCTCTTGGTTTAGTCATGCCTCTGCTACTGCCTTCTTGGGAGGTCCTTGGGCAGGTCACAACCCTGGGTCTACAGGGGCCACGGCTCTCCGTGCTATTCATTCAGTGGTGAGAACAGGAGGGGGCTTGTTTGAACTTCAGCAGATCAGCAATTTAATTCACAGCCATTCAGCTACTCCAGTGACCAGAGGATTTTAATGAACCTGCCATGTCACAAAAAAGAAAAAAATGACCAGAAGGTGTGCACCAACTTCTGCCCATGTATATATGATTATGTCATTATTTGTCAATTCATATTCATTATTTATATATATTTTTTAGCTATACTGGGATGTGAACTTCAGGCCTTGCACATGCTAGGCAAGGATTTTACCACTGAGCACCATAGCAGCGTATGTGTCACATATTGAGTCTTCACTGTGATTTTGTTTGTTTTTTTTCTTGTTTGTTTGTTTTGGTTTTTTGAGACAGAGTTTCTCTGTGGCTTTGGAGGATGTCCTTGTAGACCAGGCTGGTCTCGAACTCACAGAGATCTGCCTGCCTCTGCCTCCTGAGTGCTGGGATTAGAGGCATGTGCCACCATCTCCCGGCCACTGTGATTTTCTTTGTGGATCTTGTAAGCATGTAATGTTTCTTTCTTCTGACACATCCCTGCCTGGAGGAGGAATGTAGAGAAGTTTCTGGAATTTGAGGACTACTGATGCTCCTAGAGAGAGACTCATGAAGACAGATGAACTTGTAATAAACAGGGATACTATTGTAAGAAAGAATATCCTTACATCCTATGCCCGGCTCCCAACAGGACCAACCTGGCCTCAAAGAGCATCCCAAGAGGGTCCAGTCAGGGAACTCTCTTCGGGAATCATGGGTGACAAGGACAAGGAATCTCCATATTTTTCCCTTAAAGCAATAGCAGACTGGGATCCTATCCCTGCGTGGAAGAGAGCCCAAGGGAGAAATAATTCTACAGTCTCCTGTGCTTTCACTGTTCTGGAAGGAACCTACCTGAGCCTTGCTTACACTCCTGGAATCGCAAACTTGGGGACCACTTAGGGACAGACTGAAGGATGTCTGTTCTGTAGAGCAGCTGACTGGTGGAGAAGAGGATGCTCAGAAGAAGCCTGGAGGGAACACTGTAGCCCAGAGGCTTCATCACAGGGACTTGAGAAAGGGAAGTGAGCCAGCCATTGTGCTAAGAGGACCTCTGGCCACAAGAGTCTGCAGATGTGTAAAGGCAGGAGGAGGCAGGTGCGGCTGGGCAAGGATGTGACAAGGCCAGAGGGCAGGACATAGTCCCAGGACCCCAGTCTTTGCCTGTGTTCTTGGGTATACAGTGTCTCTTGGGGTTGTCAGGCTCCCAAAGGCCTGAGAAGTGGAAAGAAGAGCAGGACCTCGTGTAGAGAAGCCACAGCCTCACCTCAGGACGGTCTGGAAACACTTAGGAGACTCTGGTTTCCATCAGTGTACAGGTGGAGACTGGGTGGAGGACAGAGTAAAGAAAATGATGTCTTTTGGCACATTCAATTGTGTTGCTCATCCAGTCACAGGCCTTTGACCTTCCCGTGTAGGACCCATGTGTTTATGTGTCCTTAGCATGACTTTCTAAATCTGTATCTGGTGTCTTCTTAGAATATGAAAGGCATCGCTGGCATTCTTCTCCATCCCCACCCCTTGTTTGTAAGAAGCTACGAATGCGGATTTAGGGGGAATTCTTGCAGACACATTTGTCCTTGCCAGAATTAAATTAAAGCAATATTAAAAATGCCTTTGAACATGTTGCAAAATTTCGAAAGAATATTTATAAACTGTGCTTGAGAACAGACACTCCTCTGTCCTCCTGTGAGCAGCATGCAGGATTCATCTGGCAGCAGGGCAGCTTCAGGCACAGAGCACCTCTGAGAAGCTGGACCCCACCCTGCTGCCTGCAGAGGACTCAGACAGGACCAGACACTGGACAAGGAGCAACTTCAAGCAGAGGGACAAATAGACAAGCAGAAAAGCAGATAGAGTGCCAACAACTAGTGCTCAGCACCGTTGGCTTATTGACACGGCGGTGCTTAAACGATGTTGAGGTTGGATAAATTTGCAAAACCTCCCCAGAGATGGTGTGATTTTTCTCTCCTTCCCTTCTCCATTCTCATCACTCACTCCCATTTTACTTCCTCTCTCTCTCTCTTCACACTGAGATGGGCACAGAAATGCCACAGGCATTTGTACTTACAGGGATGTTTCATGCCAACTTCTTATTTCTTATTGTAGGCTCACAGAAATTCTAAATTTAAGAATGAATAAGCCAGTGCAATGAAGCTTCTCACCACAGATGAGCACATTAGGTCCCTCAATACACAGTGCAAAATGTAGAACCAATCTATACATCCCATCATTGACCTGTCCATCATCTATCTACCTGTCTATTCATCATCTATTTATCTGTCTATCATCTATCCACCAATAACTGGGCATTATTTATCTATCTACAACTACCATGTGTCTCTTCATCTGTCTATCATTTATCAGTTTGTCTATCTATCATCCATCTAACATTTACCCATTATCTACCTGTCTATATCACTGATCTATACCTATCACTGCCTATGTCTACCCATCCATAATCTTTCTATCATGCATCATGTATCTATAGATCATTTATTTCTATGCCCATCATCTACCTATCTATAACGTCTCTATTCCCTATCCTCTTTCTATATATCTGCTAATGATATATGTATGTCTTTCTGTCATCTATCTACACACACACACACTAACACACACACATACATAATAGACACACACACATATGCAGACACACACACACATGCAGTTGTAAAAGTTTGTGCTTGAACATAAAGACACTAGCAGACTGGAGAGTAGTTGCATTGATGCAGAAGACTCCCCAACATTCTTTAAGTTTGTTCTTTCTTTCTGACTGCTGTCCTAAATGAAGGTGGATTTTTTTCCTTCAAACTGTTCCCGCCTGGTTCTGCTCATCCTCTGAAGCCATGGGACGAGTCTTCTCCAGTTAGCCTCTTGTTTACACAGACAGTCTCCTCCACAGCATCCTTCACCTTTGCCACCACAGTGACTTCAGTCAGTCTCCCCCTAGGGCTGAAATCCTAGCAGGGCAGAGAATCCCATTGCACTTTTCTGGTTCTCCATGCTCTCCACTTTAGGATGTGAAGTAGGCTGAGTTACATTTGGATCACAACACCAGGAATAATCAGGATATTAAAAGTCACACGTGAAGGGTGTGACAGAGCGGCCCTGTCACAGCTGGAAACTAAATTCCTTGGCATTTGGAGGAAGCTACATTATCTGTAAACACAAAACACTTCACACTTATACATCCAGCAGAACT